TGACGCCCTGCAGATAGAAAATCCCGTCCTTTCCGTCCAATGCGAAGTGCAAGTTCGTCTGCTTCTTTTGAGGGGTGGGGTGACGTAGGATGCCGAACTCCGAATGGCTTCGGATTGGAAGGATAGTGGGTAGACCTCGAGGCAGCTAGCATTGAGGTCTACCCACTATCGTTTCATCAGAGGCAATCAAAGCTCGGTGTTCTGACGTCACCACAACCCCTGCAAACGAAGCAGACGAGCTTGCGCTCCGCATAGCATCTTTCAGTTTTGTTCATTTATCGACATCGTTGAGGACGTGTCCCTCCAAACCGGAAGTCTCCCCAGTCTCCACCTCTGGTGGCGTTATGTCGAATCCCGGACAGAAGCTCACCGGACAAAAGCTCACCCATTTTTTTAACAGACCCGGACAAAAGCTCACCAAGAGAAAATTTCATGTTGGTCTTCCAGAGAAACCAAGTTTAGAAAAAAAGGCGATGAGCCTCCTTTTAGCGAATTCGGTCACCGCGAAGCGGCGCGTACGGATAAGTCAGGTGAGTTAACATTTCTGTAATGGGCCGGCGCAGACTGCCGCCGCGAAGCGGCGGGAGCGCAGCAGGGGGCTTGGGTTAACACGTGCACCAGTGATACACGCGTGAGGTAGAAAAGCCTTCTTTAAAAAGCGTTCCCTTTTCGATAAACGGCATATCTCTAAACTGAGGCTCTGCTTTCTCTAAACCGGGCTTCAATAAAACGTGCCCGTTCTCTAAAAAATGTTTCGACGAAATGGCATTCGATCAACCGTAGTAAACCCTTGCGTGGTATGAGGTACAAGTTCACCTAAAAATGGTGCAATGTTCATCGCGTCCGCATTTTATTTCAGCCCGTGTTTCTCCCGGGTAGCGAAAAAAAAATCAGGTGAGCTTTTGTCCGGGTCTGTGAAAAAATGGGTGAGCTTTTGTCCGCTGAGCTTTTGTCCGGTGAGCTTTTGTCCGGTTACCCGTTATGTGCCTCCTTAAGTTTCCTACCTTAATGGTCAGACTTCCGGAGGAAAGTGTAGCACCCTTACCTAATTGATGATTTCGCCGCTAGTATGGCACGCGTCAATAGCAACATTATGAGTTCATAAAGGCCGGTTCTCACATGCAGCGAAGCGCTGATGTAGCGCTCCTCACGTGTCGTCAGCTACTTATCGTCTGTCATGAGCAACAGTTTTGACGGTGCGATACAAAGCTGGTGAACGCTGCCGTCAACACGCGCTAAGCGCGAGGTTAGCGCTATGCTTGTAGCGCTCCGCTGCATGTGTGAACAGGCCTTAAGGCATCACTGTTGCGCGGCGATTGGCTGGTGGAATAAAATCCCTTTCTTTGAGGCACTGGGAGTAACCGCTCATTCACACTGCCCCATTTTCTTACGTTAAGTTACGTTACGTATAAGTCACCGAAACATTCGTGTCTCGAATGTCGCGTGCCATGCATTCTCCTTAAATTGGTATGAAGCACAGAGCTCCCGGTGACTTGAACATAATATTTCATAACATAACTTAACGTAAAAAAAATGGGGCAGTGTGAATGACCCTGCGTTGGTTGCGTTCGCGAGCAACCGAAACGACTGTAACGACAAAATCACCGGGATAAGTGTTCACCATACACAGCATGGCAAGCGATGCAAGGGGTAGCTTCACCAAGCCATCCACGAGTCACTGTTGTTGCGTTGCTTTCATCGTTACGGTCGCTTTGGTTGCCTGCGAACGCAACCGTTGCAAATGTGTGAACCAGCCTTGAAGCGAAAGCTGTTCGAGCGAGCTCCGTGCTTTGAATGTAGTTGCTGTGCAAGCGCTGTCCAAAGCAACAAGCTCCGGCTTGTGATTTCCGTTTTCCTCGCACTTTAGATGAAACGGCGAGAAACTGGAGAAACGCGCTGCGGTGCTCGTTCTGCACGTGTCAAAAGAGTGCTATTGCGCCGCGCGCAAGGCGAACGTGCCCTCTGGTGAATTTTATACGGTATATTTGGCTGGTCGCTTTCTCCAATCTTCTGGATCGGATCGACGAGATCCAAGAGTGTCTTTGAATCCGATCGAAGTGACCGGCGAGCATGCCGAACGCTCGGTGATTTTTCCGAGCGGCGACAGCGCCGACACGGAACCGGATACAGGTGACAACTTCCGTAACCGCTCCACTGCAATGGTCCTAGCTACCGCCCGATACGGAGGCTTTAGCCAATATTATTCATCCATCCATTCAGCACTCCTGCACGTCGTACCACCAGCACCACCAACGCATGTCCGCATGCTCGCCCGAAAAATGGCAGCCTTCAATCCAATTGAATTCAATTCACAGTACTTTCGCTTCATGGAGTTCAATTGGTCCAGCCTCTAACGAGCGTTCGCGTGACCATAAACAAGGAACTGGTGCGTGCAGCCTTTGCTGTAGTGTCTAGAGGGCACGTGATGTCCTAAATTAAGAAAACATACCAAAATAAACTTTCTAAAATGAAAAACGAAAAGAACTATCAGATGCAAATACATATTTTTGTTTCTTGCTATGTTTTGGTACTGATGTTATTTGCTTTTAATATCGAGATAAAAAATATTAGACTAACTTCTTCTCTCTCTACACGGGGTAATTTCTGATACGAGACATTTTCGAGCCCTCTCCGCGTTCCATGCAGCGATCAACCAAGATCAGCACCGTAGCACACTTTGAGTAGGATGTCCGGGAGTCCGCTTGAGAAGCAGCAAGCTCAAGAACTCCGGGCCGATCGCACTTTACCCGACGGCAAATCAGAGGCAGGATTACCCATTGACAGGTGAGTAGGCTAAAAGGTTCTTTTTTTTTTTTTCTTGTGTCCCTTTTTTATAATTTTTCCACATCTTTCTTTTTTTTTTCTTCTTCTTTTCTTTCTTTTTTTTTTTTTACGGCCGATTTGTGCATTGTTAGGGCATAATATTTTATAGCTCTGCAAAGCACTGATTGGGATCCCGATATCTGATAGAATTTTCAGATTAAACATCTGTGTGTTTTTGCTTGGTTTTTATAACTGCGCCAGAAGTACGACCTATTGGTTGTTCCTGGACACTCTAATAAACACTAATTGATTTTTTTTTCCTGTGTGAGCCTGGAATCCCTTTCGGCATTGGATTCTCCTTTTTAATCATATTTGCGTTGCACCGTCACATGCTGCTTCTTTGTCGTTGTTGTGCGGTCATCGCCAATTCTGCAATTTGTGGTACTTGTTCCGACCCTATGACAACCGACGGCAGATACATGAAGTGCTGGAACTATTCTAAACACAAGACTTGGTCAGCTCGTCCATTGATCACATTAACCTAGGGCACCTTTCTCAACAATCAAATCAGCCATTATTATAACCCAAAAACTATCAGACCACTACTTTATAGCATGTCAGTTGAAATTTCCTGGTGAAGTGGGTGCTGAACCCAATTCTCAAATCCGCCAGATTGAAATAAAGATTTGACACGCATGTTTCCGATTATAACTGGGAAACTTTCCAACGGTCTGAACGTCATTCAGAAATGTATCCTTATTTTGTTGAACTCCTCCAGAAGTTTGTTGACGCACCAAACAAAGTTTCCTTTGTTTGTTTCTTTTTTTGAAGCAGACGAACTCCAATTCACGCTGGATTAACAATGACATATTAGCAGTGGTGATCAATCACTACAGGTCTGACGACTTTAAATCTCCTCGTTTCGTCTCACGGCAACTATGGAACGTTTCAAAATATATCGTCCCGAAATTCCACACTCGATATGGCAAAAATAGGCGTTTGTTCCAAGCTCCCCATATTTTTAATTTATTATGAACAGATCCCTCGAACCTTACTTAAAAAAATAAAAGAAAATAAAAAACGGCTCCGTCATGTGCATACGATAAAAAAGTATAATTGTCCTTTTCTTTTTACACACTTTTGCTGTGTATGCTTGTGTGAGTGTGTCCTTTTTTGTCCCTCCGCTAGTCTTATCATCTGGAAGTTCTGTGCCTCACAATTTGTGTCGATTTTTTAATGTGATTTAACCGGACAGACAGAACACGTTTAACTTTTTTTCTCCTGTCTTTATGTGTTCGACATATAAGATTTTTTAATAATGATTTATATTGATCAGTACTACTGAAGTAAAAATTTACTGTGGTCTTCTAGTGTCTTAATTTTTTTTTCTTTTGTTAACTATGTCAGCAATTCCACCTAAAAGCCCTTGTCGGCTTTGACTAACCAGACTGCTTCATCATGAGTATAGTCCTCAAAAATAAATGGTATTATTATTATTATTATTATTATTATTATTATTATTATTATTATTATTATTATTATTATTATTATTATTATTATTATTATTATTATTATTATTATTATTATTATTATTTAATGACTTGGGAGAGCCAATGGAACCGCAGAAACGCGGCAGCACGTACCAGGGAAGCCCGCGGTGCCGCATCTAGTGAGGGTGATTATAGCATGATATACTATACAAGATACAAGACGAGGACAACACGTTCTTCGGACCGTCGCGAAAACCGTTGCACGAGTAATGGAGGTTCGGTGGCATTTTAGGAGAGTCATCCTGCGAGCTAATGTGACCTTCGGCGAGCAGTTTGACAAACGTTCAAGACGGTAAAGCCCTGGCGGTTCGATGGTGTGGTCGCTCACTTCAGTTAGGTGAGCGACCGATTCACACCTATTGAATATTTGCGCCTATTGAATATTTGAAATGCCGAAGTTCTTGAAATAAGCCGCGGGCTGTATGATGCGAATTAGGAAAGCAGCTATTTGTGAAGGAAACGAGTGAAACAAGTATTGCATAGAATTATTTTGTATTTTACAGTTCCCACGATCGAACGGAAAGAAGCGACACTGAAATTGCAGCCTTGAAAGATTCTCGGTCAGGGTCATCGCCAATCAACGCAAATCACGAAGCAGAACGTTCTTTTTCGGAAAACCTGTTGGGCCACGGCTTTTTCCAACGGCGCGTCCTGGTCTGCGCCCAGCTGTCCATGGGACTGGTTGTCATGTACAACGTGTCCGTGCGAGTTTTCTCTTTCCCTGTTGACCACTGGTGCAAACCTCCGCCCGAGTTCTCCAAGATGAGCCCTGGCCAATGGAAGAACTTTGCCATCCCAGAGAGCAACGACGGTCGGTACGACCAGTGCTACCAGTATGACCTGAACATCCTGAACCCCAATGTGTCTAGACCTTTGGTTCCTTGCGAAGCCTGGGACTACGACCTTCCTCCAGAAAGACACACCATCATCAGCTTCTGGAACCTCGTCTGCAACAGGTCTCGTTTGCTCTTAATAGCCCGCGCTTTTGAGAACGTGGGCGGCCTTTTGTTGGTTCCCGTGGTCGGTCAGACAACCGACAGGGTGGGCCGCCGCCCTGCAACGTTTTTCTGCGTGATCGTGGCTCTCATCTCTGGTTTCCTTGCCTCTGTCACCAAGAAATTCCCCATCTTCGTGGTGGCACGAGTCTTTGTGGCTGCATCGGTGAACGCCCTCAAACTTGTCATATTTATCCTCCTCCTAGAGGTGACGTCGTCAGACCGTAGAGAGCTGTACGGTTGTCTTGTACATATTGGCTCGGTAGCAGCCTTCATCTTTGTAGTGGCAATTCACGACTCCTTCATGGACAGGCAAGTCGTGAGCCTTATCACCATGATGCCCATGTCGTTTCTCGTGTTCGCGTTCTACGCTGTCCAAGAGTCTCCACGCTGGCTGCTAGCCCTGCAGGACGTCGAGTCTGCTAGAGCTGTTTTACTCGTCGTGTCGCATCTAAACAACGTCAACTCGCGCAAGTTACAGAACCCGCCCTGGAATGCAGCGTGCGTGCCGACCAAGAGAACCACTTTTACGTTCGTCCACCTGATTTCAATTCACGCGTTAAGAAAGCGCACCCTGACAGTCTGTTGGGCTTGGCTGTGCGTCAGCACGTCTTTGTTCAGTGTAGTGTTCACGTATAGCTCGTTCAGTAATGAATCGAGGGGACCGGAAATCAATGATGTGAGCATTGTTTCGAGCGTTGGGGCAATATTGGGAGCGTACGGACTGCTCAGACTCTGCGATCGGAAAACGATCTTGTTCCTGCTCCTGCCCCTGTCTTCTATGCTGACAATCGCGATCGCCGTGGGCTCCCCGATATTCCGAAAGCTTCAAGTTGAATTTATGCTCATAGTCATTTCTTCTGCACTGCAAGCGACGAACGTTGTGCTTTACATTTATACGTTCGAGATGTTCCCTACGGTGGTGCGAGCTCTGGGCATATCCGTGGCTTATTTCTGCGGGCGAGTCGGGGCCATTTTGGGATATAGGCTATTTACGATAACGGTCGACAATCATCCGTCAGTACTTATGTTCATACTCTCGGTGGTCTTAATGAGTGCCCTCGCTTGGCTCCAGGCGTTACCCGAATCCAAGGGGAGGAAACTGCCGGACACGTTGCTCGATCTTGAAATTTGATTGTAAGAAAGCTTACGAATGCGGTACCAAGGCCAAGGTCCCAAATGGTTGCGGGATCACGGGAGACGATTTTGATATATCAATATTTATATGTTTCGCATATATTTTCATTTAATCTGAACACATTTGTGTGAATCGTGGCCTTTATGCTTTCGTTTATCGGATTTTTTTTTTTTTTTTTTGTAAGAATGACTAAACGTACTAAAATTAAAATATCTTGCGAGTGAGCAAATATGATAAATTCGTCCTGTCGAAACGCTTGCTTATTTTAATGTGTTCTGGGCTGAGGAGCTTGAAGGCCAGGCACGTAGCCAGGGGGGAGGCCCATGCGACCCGGGCCCCTCCCCCCTCCCCCCCCCCCCCCGAAATCTCCCGTTTTGCTGGGACCCTCCTCTCCCCCCTCCCCCTCATACAGCATTTTATCATAGGCGCCCCCCCCCCCCCCCCCCCGAAACAAAATTCTGGCTACGTGCCTGTTGCGCGCATTTCAAGATTTTTGCAATGAACAAAAGATGCAGCGACAACATTTTTGTTTATTTTATGAAGTCCGATAACCAGAAGTAATAATATAGATAATATGTAATATTGGCGAGTCCGGCGAAATCGACGGCGCCGAGCGGCTAGAGCAGGAAGTTTGTGGCGTCAGGTTCGATTCCCAGCCTCCCGAGTGGATCAGATATTTACAGCGCCTGGCGGTCAAAAGACGAAGCCGTAAATGTATTCTACAACACGTGGTGGAAAACCCCAATAGGTGTTACTTAATTATTGGACAGAGGTGAAGGTCATTGATCTTCATGTCAAAAGTCAAGGTCATATGTCAAAGGTGAAGTCAGGTTAACTTTATTCACGCCACGCGTTTTTTTTTTTTTTTTTTTTTTTTAGTAGTTGATTTTTTAACCTGGATGATGATACTGAGTTATTGAAGATCCTTCAAATATGCAGTATGCGTTTCTTAGAAGGGCTGGATAGCCTTTTTAAAGCTCAACCCTTAGGCGCCGTTTTCCGCGTATAGCGGCAGCGATGTCGCCGTCGCCGCCGCCGCCGCCGCCGTCGGCGTAACCGCCCCGCTAAATTTAGCGGGAAATTGAATTGGTGTTGAGGTCACGTAACGTCATTTTCCCCGCCAAATTTAGCCGGGAAACTGGGTGGAGGGGAGGATATGGAGGAGGAGGATAGGAGGGTGCGGAGGAGGAGGATGGGAGGGTACGCAGGAGAAGGGGAGAGGTGGAGGGGGAGGAGGGGAGAGGTGGAGGAGGACGCGTGAGAGCATGAGGAGGAGGAGGGGAGGAAAGGAGGAGGAAGGGAGAAGAGGAAGAGGAGGAATTAAAAGGACGATGAGGACGGGAGGAGAGAAGGAAGCTAGGAGGTGCAGTAGGAGAGGGGGAGACAGGAGGAGGAGGGGCATACCCTCCCCTCCGTGCCTTCTCCTCCTCCTCCTCTTCAAGAGCTGCACTCTAATTTCGCGGTACAGAGATTTGTAAACATCTTTCTTTTTTTTTTGTACAAGATTGAATTTTTCAAGATATTTAAAATTTGATACGACGTCTTGACGGACAGTTTTTTTTTTCTTTGATTAAATTATGCATTTAACTTCCTTGTTGCGTGAAATATCTCCATATTTCGGAAGTGGTAATAAACTCAAAAAGGTGCATGCATGTTTCTTCAAAACACGTTTTGAGTTACATAAAGCGAAGGTTCTACTCGATAAATTTGCTCGGTTAGATTTGCCTTAGAAAGCCTTCACGTAACGTTTACCGCTCATTCCCACTGGAAGCGGATCCGCGTTTGCAAAGTGGTTGCGAACGCGGTTGTATAAAGATCCAGTGCAATTGCACGCGCACTCGATGACATCGAGTGCGCGTGCAATTGTACTGGATCTTTATACAACCGCGTTCACAACCGCTTTGCGAACGCGGATTTGCTTCCAGTGATAATGAGCGGTGAGAGCGCGGCTCCGAGGTGCCCGTTTCTGGCTTGAGCGGCGCCGCCGTCGGAGTCGGCATAACCGCGCGCGTTGCATCATGGGAATAATGCAAGCGGAAGTAACTGGGCGTTACATTATGTAAAAAGTTTCCCGCTAAATATAGCGGGAAAATGTTCGCTAAATGTTCGCTAATTTTGCGATAAACTTTTCCCGCTAAATTTAACAAGACATTTTTCGCTATATGTCCCCGCTACATTTGGCGGGAAAATTTTTCTGCTAAAGCTAACAGAAAATTTTTTCAGTAATTTTTTCGGAAAACTTTTTCACTAACTTTAGCGGTAATATTGTCCCGCTAAATGTAGAGCGTAACGATTCCAGAATAAACTTATCGAAAAAACTTCCCCACAAAATTTACCGGGAAAATTTCGCCGCTAAATTTAGTAAAATAATTTCCCCGCTCAATTTAGCAAGAAAATTTCCCCGATAAATTTAGGGCAAAAATATCCACGCTAAATTTAGCGGAAACAATTCCTTGCTAAATCTAGAGGGGAATTGTTTCCCGCTAAATTTAGCAGGAAATCTTGCTTGCTAAATTTAGCGGAAACTTTTCACGCTAAATTTAGCGGAAAATCTTCCCCTCTCAATTTAGCGGAAAATTTTTCTCGCTAAATATAGCTGGAAAATGTTACCGCTAAATTTAGCGGGGAAATGTTATTGCTAAATTCAACCGAAACATTTCCCCGCTAAATATAGCAGAAACATTTCTCCGCTAAATTTAGTGTATAAATGTTCGCTCAATTTCGCGAGATATACAGGGAAAAGTTTCCGCTAAATGGGAGGAAAGCACGAGAGGAGGAGGAGAAGGGAGGAGGGGAATACGCTCCCCTCCGTACCCTCCCCTCCTCCTCCTCAAGAGCTGCGCTTTAGTTCGGCATTACAAAAAATTGTAAACGTCTTTAATTTTTTTTTTATATCTGCATGAACACATTGATTCAATCAATTTTACAAAATTTTTTTTTTGTCATGGATGGATTTAAAATTGTGTGGCACTTTCTCCTGGTGTTTCCCTGTAACTTCAGTTCGAAATTCAGATTAATAGTTGAAGACAATTGCAATTTACGTTTTTAACAATAATTAAGCATTATTTTGAACATATCCTAATAAAATTAAGATTACGTCCTGTGTTTTTGTCCCGTGTCACTCAACTACATTGAATGCGCTTGCGTTGCATTCTACAGGACATTGCAATACGTGACAAAACGTAAAAGAAGGGTGCATTTTCGTTCGAACACAAAATTAAGCTAGGGCTGGGTTTATGCGAAAGCGATCGTAGGGCATCAAATCAAGTCGGAACCAATCACACGCACCCTGTCTCCCTACTTCATCTACCCATCTACTACCAACCAAATTATGCACGTGTGACTATTTGCACCGAAGTGACGTACTACAAAAACACGCTCCCCTCTTACGCAGACAGGTGATGAGCTTATTACTTAATACACCCTTAATGGTTTCGAAAAGCATTGGAATCTTCGTCCGGTGTTTTACTTAGTTTAGTACGAAACGGCCTATACGGACTCTATGGTGCGCGCTCGCACCTTTATCGTTCATTCAGTCCATCTGCTCCAAAATGTTACCTTAGCAAGTATGACGTCACACCTCAGTTGTTGCTCTGCTTCAACTTGCGGGTTGCGTAAAGGTCTTTTTTTTAAGCTCGTGTCGTCCACTTTTTTCTGTAATGCCTAACAGCCTTCAGAGGAAACAGAAAAATAAATAAATAAGCAATGCTTAAGAGTATTTATAAGAAACGTGTTAAAGCATGAATTTTATCAAGGGGCCTTAACCATATGCAAAAAGGTGCGCCATTTTGTATTCTTATGATCAATTATCAAGTTTTCGCTATCTTGGAGGGTTGCCGTACTGGTAGTTTCTCCCGGGGACATCGGAGTCACAGATCTGAAATATGATCACGTACTGCCAGTCCAGTCCGAACCCTTCACACAGCTTCTTCGATGAAAATCTCTTTGCTATCATTAAGTTACTTTCCACAATCTCGCAACCGTCTTTCTTTTCTTTGTTGCACCGAAACTGGATAAAACATACTGAACGTCCAAATACATGTTGCTAGTAGGGAGTTTTCGTAGACCGCGCTGCCCGCTCCGCTAAGCGTTCCGCAACGAAGAAGTTGCTACTGCGCCTGCGCGCCGATAGCCTTGACTGTGGAGTTCCCGCTATTGTAGCGGGTTGCGGAGTGCCCTTGCGGCATGGCGAAAACGATCTACGAAAACTCCCTAATATCCTAAAGTTGGCTGCAGATGCGTGTGAGCACCCATGGAAGATAGCAAAAACCCTCCAATATGACGGAACCGAGTGGCATGATGATGATAGCAGGCAGGAATGTTGAGTATCGCCAATTTCGAAACAGAAAGGGTGCTGTAAATAACATATTATGCTTCTTTCTTTTTTTCTTTTTTTTTTGTATTTGCTGCGTTTTAGTATGACGAGGTGCTTTCGTCGCTGTTGTGACGTGTACTTGAAATGTCAAGAGGACACTGAGGCAATTGTTTACTTACACGAGATGGTTTTATAGCTTTTTCGAATAACGAAAAAAAAAGAATCAATGCTGTTTGAATTAGGAGAATCTCGAGGAAGGTTGAAAGGGGCATTACTGTGATGCTTCAAAAATACTAATATTAGCGTTCTTGTCGTCTCCTAAATTCAAAACTTCAGGCTTTAATAAAAAAAATAAGTTATTTTGCAGTTACCTGAAAAGAGAAAATGCGGGGTTATAATTGTATTTGAAACTGCATTTTCGTTCTGAAGGCGTTCTTATTTTTAACCTTATTATCAGAAACCTTGATTTAGTATTCTTCATTCAATTTAAGCCCAGCGTAACTTAACTAATAGTGTTTTTTTTTGTTTTTTTTTTGCGCACACAAATAGCATGAGTGTCTTTTTTTTTATATGAAGTGAACACTGTCCAATTAGACTTCCTTGCTAATGAAGACTTCTCGGAAATTCTCTAATGCCAGAGTTTCGAAGCTAAATTTCCCTGATGACCTTTTCAACGGCATTAGGGAGTTCCCCTAATAGGATTATATCCTCAACGAAACCAGGTGCACTCTTATATATATATATATATATATATATATATATATATATATATATATATATATATATATATATATATATAGATATATATATATATATATATATATATATATATATATATATATATATATATATTAATAACTGTATCAGGAAAAATTATATATCAAGAAACTAACGAATATTTTATCAATATTTTACCGTGTTGAGGGTGGCGGGTGTCCTATTGGAATGAAAACCGAAAGGTTTTCTATAGTCGCCGACAGGATTAGAACGGTGGAAAGGTAGAACCGTTCTCACTCGGGGCCTTCTGCCTTCTATACCACTTCGGCGTCTCGTGATCCTCGAGCGTGCTCTAGCACCGAAGCACGGCGAAAGGCAAAAAGTGCCCCCAGGAGGTCGGGCATCTAATAGAGGCACTCTGTTGTTCTTATATAATCTGTGACTAGGATTAAACATTTAAACTCGGTTTAAAATTCCGCTCTAAATGTTTCCTGGTTCTTTACTGCTTAAAATGCCCCTAAAAAAAAAAACAAAAAAAAAACTTTTTTTTTTTATCAGTCTGGTTGGGACACCCGTGTCAAAAAACTAACTTTACGAGGAAAAAAAAATTAGAACAATATTGACGGCGCGAGACGCGATTTAGTTGGCAGTCACCTCCTTTCCACTTGTCTTCTCTCTCGGCATTTCGGGCGCGTGGAGGAGAGGTGGAGCGGCTTCGCCTTCGCGACCGAGATGGTCATTCCGGAATGACCCGTGACGTCATGGACCCCGCGCGCAGAATTTAAAATAAATCTCCCTCTGTCAATATTGCTCTAATTTTTTTTTCCTAATATTAGTTTCTGACACGCATGTCCCAACCAGACTTTTTGAAAAAAAATTCTAATTTTAGGGGTCCTTTAAAGGGCCCGTGCAACCATATTCGCTTGTGATGTCTTTCACTTTACACAATCTTACTAGCACTAGTGGGACCCAAGTATACTCGCTCGCAACGCCACTGACCAAGAAGCTCCTTTGTTTCGATGAAATTAATTTCAAAAACAAAACCGAGCGTTTTCGTTCGATCTCCTTCGCAAAACTTGATGACGTAACTGGGGGTCGCGATACCCCCCGGTGACGATATTTGAATTCGGCTCATAGATTTGAACCGAGCATAGCGTGGGCATTCGATTTGGGGTCGTGATAAACAATAGCTCGACGAGCATTCGGTTTGTGGCCCGTGTCCAATCGCTGGAATGATGACAATAACCGAATCATAATAATGTCTGGAACTCGGCGCTTGTCCAGTGTTTTGCAAACCCCAGCGCGTGGCTACAATCAACATTTCAACATTAGCTGCATGCAATCAGCTCCAAATCACGTAGCTGCTTCTGTGAACGCTGCTCGATTTTCTTTAATTTGTTTTCTACGACCTTTATTTCGTGTGGTGAAAAACGAACGCGTGTTTCAGAGGTCGTTAACGTCAGGGGTATGTTTTAAAGGGTATTTGCGCAAAGTACGAAAATCGTTGTTTTGCAACTTTAAGGCCCGAATATCCATCGAGACGGAAGATCCGACTAAGCCTGAATGTTCCCTCAGACTGGATAGGCGGCTCGTGGAGACTTAGAATATTAGTGTATGCTGTGCAATGTGACAAGTTAGAACTTAAAATTACGGTATGGTAAAAATTAGTTTGCAGCTCGCAGTTGAGTAGATATGTTGCTGATGAGACTGCTTTTTGTGAATAAATGGGCGGTGAGAGAAACATCACTAAAATAAAGTTTACCTAAGAGATTCTCGCAACTTTCTGACGGATTTAGAATAGATGTCTAGTGCTTCGGCAAAAATATACAGGCCGGGTGTCTCATTAAAAACGAGTCAAGCTTTAAAAAAAAAGGCTGCTCCTACGCGATGAAATCAACTGTGCTTCGCTCCTATGCGTTTTCCGAAAGCGCAAGCATTTAATTTATGAAACCTAATTAATTAATTACGATCAATTTTCGACCTGTCTGCTTGTCACACTCTTTTGCCAGTAGTTTTAGAGCGCAGCTCTTAGGCGCCTGTTTCCGACTTGAGCGGCGTCGCCGTCGGCGTAACCGCGCGTTGCATTATGGAACGTTTCTTATAATGACGTCCCGAGGGTTACCCTCATGAGGGTTACGACGGTCATCCTCACGAGAGTTACGAGGCTTACCCGTACGAGAGTCACCAGGGCTACCCTCACGAGTGTTACGAGGCTTACTCTCACGGGGGTCACGAGGGTTACCCTGACAAGGGCCACGAGGGTTACCCTAACGAGGTTTACGAGGGTCACCGTCATGAGGGTTATGAGTATTGCCCTCACGAGGGTTACCCTCGTAACGTCACACGTGACGTCATGTGTGACGTCAATATTGAAAACATGTGATGTAAGGCGTCACGTGATGTCCCACGCATCTAACATTGGCAATATTCCCGCTGAAGTTAGTGGGGAAATTTTTCCGCTAAATTTACCCTACTGACGTCACGCGAGACGTCACGAGGGTATCCTTTCCTCCCCTCCCCTCCGTACCCTCCCCTTTCCCTCCTCAAGAGTTGCGCTATAATTCGGCGTAACAGAAAATAGTAACCGTCTTTTATTTTTTTATTTCTTTATTTTTAGAAGACTGACAAATTTCCAAAGGAAATACGAGAAGTAACTTGAATTACTTCAGGTTGCACAGCATGCCGCACAGAATCGAATCCATGCACTTCTGTTGGGCCCGCTCGCTGGGGCAAGACCGATATTGTGAAGTGCGCACAAACTGGGGACCTTCCCCGAGAACAACTTTGGTGGATTATCCGTGACCGGACGTGGGGACACCGTGGCTAATCTTAATCCTCAGCGCGCCCTCCGTTCCAAGGAGACGAGGTATGGGGTCAAGGAGAGGGCTAACTTTCGGCTGTCTGGCGCGTTTCCGCGCTTTTTGTGTTGCACGTGCGGATCATCTTCGACGGGTGGCGTCACCGGGGACTGTAAAAATTGGTGACCCTGACGGGTTTAGAGGTTGGCGTCCGTCAAGGTTCCGGAAGGGGGAAAAGGCTCGAGAACGAGGAGGAGATGAAGAGCGTCACGGAGGTTCCGGAAGGGGAAAAAGGCTCGAGAACGAGGAGGAGATCAAGAGCGTCCCAATCGAGGCCTGCCCCGATTGCCAGGGAGGAAACGAAAGGAAGGACTGAAAGGCATCGGCCGTCAGGGCTCGGCGACTGAAGCTTGTCCCGGGACGGACGTCGGCGAGCGACCTGCTGACAAGCAGCCACAGTCAGACCTCACCAGCCCGTGCCTGCTGACAAGGAGCCACAGCCAGACCTCACCAGCCCGTGCCTGCTGACAAGGAGCCACAGCCAGACCTCACCGGCCCGTGCCTGCTGACAAGCAGCCACAGCCAGACCTCACCAGCCCGTGCCTGCTGACAAGGAGCAACAGCCAGACCTCACCAGCCCGTGCCGGGTGACAAGCAGCCACAGCCCGACCTCACCAGCCCGTGCCGTGTGACAAGAGGCCACGACACGAGAGAATGACGTGCAACCTGCCAGGTTCCAAGCGCCGGCCCAAGCGGGTGAGCGGACACCTTACGTCCCCAGTCGGACAATAAACGTCCTAATTTAAATCCGAGTCTCGTGGCATTTCTTCTCCTCTCTACCCCAAAAGGGACCCCAAGGGTGGTGTAACCGCTACCTCCGGTAGCGATCATCACAATATCAAGCTCCGTCTCGGCAAGAAACGAGAGGCTGCATGCAGAAATTGATGTGTCTGTCTCATTCACCGGTGGTCCTGCTGCCACCTACCAGGACGTCTCTAATTACGTGGACAGAATCACAATCATTTGTGCGCTTCAAATGGCTACTTAAAAGTTATTTCAGTAGTTTTAGTGACGCGCATTAAGTGAATAAATGATTCATGTTTTCCGCCGATCACGTTGTCCTTTTTTGAAGACGTGGAGAAAGGTGCCGCGTGCCGAAAGCGGAAACCTATCACCCTACGAAGCTTCGTCTCTGTAGCGTTTTTTGTGTAAACAGTTGGTCCGGTGTGCACAACTCACTCATTGTTGAATGTGTTTACATTTTATTCTCGAAATCTAACTACTGCCCTAGCCTCCTTCGTTTTGGCCAGAAAATGTATTAATAAAACAATAACCAACACAAAACATATTTCTAACAAAGAAAACATTGGGTTTCGTGCAGTTGAAATTCCGCAAAGTTGTACGTCTTTTTTTTTTATATATATATATATATATATAGTTTTTAGCAGTTGTATATGTTTCGGAATATTAGCGAAGTTTAATTAGCGTCCTGGAATTCGCCAGAGCGGCAAACTTTTTTTTTAGGAAATTCGAAGATCTATCAGCTCGAAATATGTAAACATTGCTAAACGCATTGCTCACATCAGGTAGCCAGTGGACTGAGACTGTAGGCCACTCCGCATACTATATCCACTTGGTAACGTGGCCGGTGAGACGGAATATCCATCGAGAAAGAATGCAACTGAGACGGAATGTCCAACGAGTTTCAATATCCAAAGAGACGGAAGATCCAACCAGGTCCGAATGTCCACCGTGACTAAACTCCCCTTTAGACGAAATGTCCAACTGTGACAAAATGTCCACCGAGTCTGAATATCCAACGAGACGAAAAATCCAACCAGGACTTAATATGCAACGTGTCTGAATATCCAGCATGTCTGAATATCCAACGAGCCTGAATATCCACTAGTGGGTATTTCGACTCGTTGGATATTCAGGCTCTGAATCATTCTTTACCCCAGTCTCATGTTATAGAACATTATGGCAAACTTCAACGAGCTCACCTACACTCTAACTGTTTTTTGTTTGTTGTTTCTTGTATATCTGGTTCGACGAATACCGACGAGTATGAAGCGCGAAACACAAATTTCATGAAGGTACTTTAATCCTAACCACCACCGTGTTCTAAAAATAAAAAAAAAAAAAGTTGAAAGTCGCGTTTTAGAGCCTAAACCTTTCAACACGGCGAACAGAGTTGTCAGGACAGAAATGTAGACAGCATCACGCCGCCCGCGGTTGACACATTCGAATAGCATCTCGTCGTGCACCGATCCGGTGTCATGAAGGGACACTGTTCTGACCACCACCGGGTTCTAGCTAAGAATAGTAATAATAATAATAATAATTCCTGGCGACATTCATTTCCTGGTTAAAACTGATCTAAACAGTTCGGTCATACATATTGACTATAAACAACTTCTCAGCCGACTGTCCGTTCAGTCGTCGACGAGGTACCAAGTTTTCCTCGTCCACACGCCGTATTAGCCAAAATCACATAAAGCGAAAAGGTAACGGTTAACTTGTTCGCGACTCTTTATTCGCCCAACCCTCCCACTCTTCCCCATTTGGGGCCAAAGGAGCGGAAATGTTCCTCCAACGAGATGGCACCGGATTCGCTTCCCTTTGGTTTCGTATCTCGCCAGATGACGTCCCGAAGCGATTCTACCTAGAAGACAAGGCCTGCGCATGACGTCATCGATGGTGGATCTGCGACCCGCCCCAAGCGTCAAACACGAC